TGTGTGTGTGTGCATGTTTGTGTGTGTGTATACGTGTTTGTGTATGTGGTGTGTGTGTGAGTGTATGTGTGTGAGAGAGAGAAAGAAAAAGTAATAATGCATGTATATGAGTGCATGTGTGTGAGTGTGTATGGATATTGTGTGCGTATGTGTGAGTCTGTGTGCATGTATGTGTATGCGTGTGTATATATATATGTGTGTGTGTGTGTGTGTGTGTGTGTGTGTGTGTGTGTGTGTGTGTGTGTGTGTGTGTGTGTGTGTGTGTGTGTGTGTGTAGGGTGTGGGATATATAAAAAGGAATGTTCATCAATGAAGATTAAAATTTTTGCTAAACCAGAAGGTTGGAACAAAAAATATGAAACATCTAATAAGCGAGCAAAAACAAAACTGCGACGCAATATGAATGCAAACGCGCTGCAGAATGGTTATAGTGTTGAAAGGCAATCAGCTGTTCGTTTGGACAGGAATACTTACTGAAGTGTCTTTAGGCCATTCCCAAAGGGAGGATATTAACTTGTTCTTATGTACAGTAGTATTGTAAATGGGCCGATTGATCGATGTCATGCTCATACTGTGCCGGAACAACATAGGGGAACAACATGCTGCTTTTTTATTCTCCCATCCTTACTACGACATTTCCCCCTCTACTTCTTTTGTATGTTTGTCACTCTCCAGTGCACTGTTATTTCCGGGGTGCCTTGATAGTCGAAGCCAGTCGAAGCATACTGTGTGCTGTTGAGGCCAGAGAGATGAGCAGAGTAAGTCTGATTCCCTGCTTGGACTTCTCTGTTGACATCCACCCCTTGGCGCTCATATGACCTTAATATGCAGTTGCGAGCGCCTTAAAACCTTACCAAAACTAAAAGAGAAGGGTGGACTGTATTTTCTTTTGTTCCTTGAGTGACGTGCTTGATATCCCACTAAGCAGGTTTCTGTGGGTGGTTGGCGGGTGCTTTAATGTGCTTTAATTATTGCTCCTTCTTTCCTATTGAACATGTATCGTTCTTATCTCTCCTCCTTTTTTGTGGGTGTGTTTGTTACACTCTTGTAAAAAACGTTAATCTTCGGCTATGATCTGACCTATTTGTTTTGCAAGTGCCTTAAAACTATTTCTAAAACTTACCCCCCTAAAAAAACCCAAAAGGGTTGTACAAGACAAGCTGTGTTGAAGCTGTCAGTTTCTTAAAAATGTTTTTTTTTTCTGTGTCAATCAAACACATAAAAATTAATTGTCAATTGTGATGTGTGTTGACAAAATCAGTTAATTCCCGGATGTTAGCCCTCAAGGTACATATAGATACATGTACATCAAATTTGTAGATTGGGTTCGTACAACGTGTAATACGAAATGCTAAAAGACAAGTTAAACTTAAGGGAAATGACGTCAGCTGAGAATCTAAAATTTAATGCATTAAAATTTTTATTATTTAAATTTT